AGACTCAATGTTTCAATTCCATAACCATTTATAGCATAACCCATCAACATAGAATTCCAAGAAACCTTGTCAATTTTTACCACTTGTTCGAACAGTTTTCTGTCTTGTTCGAACAGTTTTCTGCCACTTCCTACATGACCACACCTGCAGTAAAAGTCAACAAGGGAGGTAGCAATGACCTGATCAAAGTCAAGGCCGATTATGGTAGTTCTAGCAATAACTTGTAAACCGATCAATGCAATGCTGGCACAGGAACTGACCACACTGGCAAGGCTGGATTTGTCCATACTCATGTTCATCTTATTCATCTTGCAAAAGATATCTAATGCTTCAATTGGAAGTCCGTTTTGACTCAGACCCACAATCATGGCATTCCATGAAATCAAGCTTTTCAATGGCATACTATTAAAGATGCACTTTGCTTCTTCAATTCTCCCAAAAGTCGAATAAATGATGATCATGGAATTAAGCAAAACAATATCATAAGTTTTAAGCTCACTGAATAACTTTCAAGCATCATTAGGACTTCCACATTTGGCATATGCATCAATAAGAGCGCTGGCGACAACAAGGTCAAACATAATTCCTAACTTGTATACACGAGAATGCAATTGCATGCCATTTTTCAAGAAGCCTATACTACTGCAGACATTCAAAACACTATCAAATAATAATATAGCTTCCATAGGATCATCCTTGACAATGTATCCTGCAATAAAGGAATTGTTGGAATTGGTTCAAAAGTAATTGAAAAGTTGGTTGAGTATTAAAATCAAAATGAAAAGGTGTGACTTTGTGTCAATTTCAGTCGAATAGTCGAACTTGATCCGATGGTCAAATTACAAAAGTAAATAGACCAATTTATTCTACTCGTCGAGTAGATCGTCATGGTATATTTGGAATCTCAAAACCAATTCTGGATGAATGAGAAATTGCGATCCAAATTTGGAAAAATGAAGTGTTTCAACTTTTCGAAAGGATGCAGGTTTGAAATGAAGTGTTACAACTTTTCATGAAAAAATGCTGAATTTGGGGTGTGTCCCTTCACCCACAACCTTTCAACTTCTATATATAGGACCCCTTGGATGTTCATTTGTAATTCCATATTATTCATTTTATGTCATGTTGCATCAAATACTTTGTAGAAGAGATTATATCTTGCATCTAAATCATGGTTTTGGTAGAGAGGGAATTCCGTTCGAGTTCTTGGTCGAAGTCATTTGGAATGCTCCTATGGCTCGACGTGGTCATTGTATCTTGGAAGATGATTGTCCAAAAATCGTTAGCACTAATGCGGGGCAAATTCATCTTAACAACAAAGTGTTAAACACTCGCCTCGGCCAATCCATCACTTGCATTTCTTTCCTCATTTTCTGATTTCTCTTAATAATGATTTGATTTCAGAAAATGTTCAATGTTCGATCCAAAGAATGACTTATTTTAGTTCAAGAATCGAAAGAAATGAATCCATATTCATACATTCGGATTCGGTAACTGTTATTGTTTTGGTAACTTTTACGTTTTGCTTCTCAAATCCTATTTCAATAAGTCAAAATTACGTTTTAATTTCACGCAAATAAACAGTATATTTTTTGTGAATATAATATGCACAATATCGATATAATATTCCCAACAAGAATTCCATATCACAACACAAGGATTAGGCATGAGTTCAAATATTCTTGTTGCTTCATTCACGCTACAGCAATTTGCAAACCCAGAAATCAAAGCAAACATAGAGAGTAATCATCCGGATCCTTCATTGCGTTTAATACGCCACTTGCACTATTCAAATCACCGCACTTCCCATTCATATTCACAAGTGATCCTCCCAGAAGAGAATCAAATTCCATACCATCAACAATCATCCTAGCATGAACCTGTTTTCCACAATCAAGACTTCCCCAATCCGTGTATGTGTTGTTTCTAGAGTTTGAAGTTACTCCTTCGAAAACAATCCGATAGAATCACCTGAATGTAAGAATTAATCAACAGGATCCAAAATTATAATTCGAGCCCACCGACTTCATGATATTTCCTTAAAACGAATTTGCTGCCTTCAATGGTGCTAAAGGCGTCCAGCAATCGTTTCTTAGGATAGAACGAATTTTCGTCTCTTACGGAAGCAGCACTGCAATTTGCAGGAGTTCCAACGAACTCAACGAAGTGTGTTTTACTTCGAGAGAATATCAGAACGAGAGAGGGGGGAATGAGATTCAAAGCACAGAAAGTTTGCAATGAAAATTGTGTAAATTTTCTGGTAGAGAAGCAGGTTATTTATAGACTTGTTCGTGGCCATTCGAACAGTCATCACCTTTCAGACAAGCCTTAAAAATCCGAACAGACATGCTGTTCTTAAAAGTCATGTCTGTTAAGTCGGTTAACAGTCGACTGTTTAGTCGGTAAACAGTCGACTGTTTGGTCGGTAAACAGACGACTGTTAAAAGAAAATAAAACACCCCGGAATAATAAGCCAAAATTTAAATTTCATAATGTACCCAAGGATTTGATTATTTACAATTTGGCCCAAAATTTTAAATAAATTTTGTCCAAAAAATTAATTTAGTGCAAAGGTCCACCCGCACCGCATCGAACCGGACTCGGACACGTGCCGAGCCGGCCAGTCGAACAGACGGCGACGGCGGCGTGCGCGTGTGGGTTTATGACAGAACCCAATAGGATATAGGTCTTCCCCCTTCTAAAGACTATTGGTACCCTTTGGGGCCCAAACCCAATTCCAAACTTCTACCTTAAAAACCATACCAAAGTTTCCTAACTTTCCTATGTGGGATAAGTGTTTAGAAAATCAAATTCTTCTATAATACTTAGTTTATGTGGGTTACTTTAACACTTAATATTTCATTCAATTTTAAATGATTTTCGATAAATAAATATATCACGTTAATCATCTCGCGGAGTAGAACGTGAATATGCTAGGTCCCGTATTAATTAAAAGGTGGATTCCACTGAAATTTGGGCTCAAAGTTGACCCATTTCATAACCATTTTTTTTCCAACATCTCCAACAATGGTGGTCAATATGACCATATCCAAACTCCAAACACTACCCGTTTGCCCAATTTCCAAGTTCAAGAGATCCTTAAAAAGCTTCAAAGCAATTCTTGGATACCCATCTTTCGCATAACCATGAATCATTGCATTCCATGCAATCCCATTCTTTCTCGGCATCTCATTAAACAATCTACGGGCAAAATCCAATTCCCCAACTTTCGCATACCCCGAAATAACCACATTCCAAGAAAATTTATTCTTGTTGGGCATCGACATAAACAAATTCAATAAATCACTCTTGTGGGCGGACCCAAGGGGACCCTAGGCGTCATGTGACCACCTAACTTTTGAGATTTGAATTTATTTATTTATTTATTTTTTGGTGTGGATAATTATGCTTGGTATCAATTGAAATCTAAATTTTAATATAAATCAAAATTAACAATTAATTTTTTAATAACATATTTCATGGAATCCCTAACTTTTTAACTTTTATCAACATATATTGAAAATTTAATTTTAATCTACACCAAACAGAAGCAAAATCACAATAAATTTGAATTTTTTTCTCTTTTCTCTTACTCTATCTTATGCGCACCATCACACATTTTACCAAAACCTTAACCCTTCTAATTTTTTAAAATTTTTCTATAAATTATCATATCTACTACAAATTTTCACTTTCCAATCAAATTTTCAATTAATTAGAACTTAAATTTGCATATTCTTCTGTCATATTTGTGTATATAGAATGTGACTGAATTAATTAAATTCAATTTAACTTATATTTAAAGAATTGTATTTATTTGATTGAATATTGATTATATATTTTTTCTTTTGATCACTTGAATTGATTGTTTGTATTAAATACACTATAAATTTTTTAAATATAAACATGTATTTTTTTAAGATGAGCAAAATATTAATAAAGAAATATTTTTTAAATGTAACTCTACATTTTCTAGGTCAATTATAAATCATTCAAAAATCAAGAATAAAGTATTTGATTTTGTAAAGATTTTGATTGTGCCCCTAACTAAGAATCTCCGTGTCTGAGTCTTGTCACCACATTTTCCGCATCCTTCAAAATCGGTGTTCCAAGTAAACGAATTTCTTTGCATCATTTCATCGAAAACCTTTCAGGCACAAGATATTTCCCCACATGTTACATACAGTTGCTTTACGCGATTGGCAATGTTGAGAGTGGAAAAAAGGACACCTCTTTTGAGGAAAAGGAGGTGAAGTTGTTGTCCTTGGGGAATGGATTTGTGGGTGTCGAAGGAATTGATTAAACGTGCATAGGAATACGAGTCATGAATGTCCATAGTAAACTGGGGCTGCTAACGGTTATTCATTTGAGATTGAGATTTGACGGCCTGTACAATTTTCAGAGTCAAAGTTTTGCTCTTGAGATTTCCATTCATTTTCTATTTTCCTATATTTTATATATCCGTACGTACGGAAAGGACAACTTATATGTCATCCACCCGTGTTATGCTGCAACTCCAGCACACAGAATTAGATTGGAGAGATATATTTTGGCTAATTTAAAAAAAATTCTTTTTATTCATCAAAATCCCCATTATTTTTAATATTCTTTTTGTTCTCAAGCACATATTTTTTATTAAAATAATATTATACGTAAATTTAAAAATTTTCTTTTATAATTATACATTCTCCATCAATCTACTATTTCTTAGCCAAAAAAGAGGTTCAAATATGCTCTTAAAATTAAAAATTTATTTAAAAGTAATTTAATAAAATTAATATTTGATTTTTATCGTGAAATGTTTAGTTAAAATTAATATTTGATTTGGATTTCTAATCATAAAGAGATGATTTTCCAGTGGTTTATTGAAAAATTGTTTCAAAATGATTCCTCAAGACAAAAATGAAGAATTTTGTTGTTTTTTTCCAAGAAATTTCTTGGAAAATTCTTCCAGCAGTTTCAACCACAGGAATATTATTAGGATCAAAAAGATTTGTATGTTCCGTACAATAAAGAACATTCTCGGATTTTTTTTTCCCAACAATTGAAAAGTTCAATAATCTACCTCCTACATATACTGATATACATGAACCTACAGGGTTATATATATCAATGTATTCATGAAGAATTTGAATTGTTAGACATAAGCTCGACTGCTACACGATACAATACGACATGTTTCCTCTAAGTAGGAGCCACCTGCAACGAATTTTCGATAAGCTCGACAAAAATGGAGATGGAAAGGTGAGTATCGATGAGCTAATGTGGCTTCTTCAAAGAATTGGTAATGATACCTGTAGAGAAGATGAGCTGGAGTTATTGCTTGGCAAAACTAGTCTTGATTTCATTGATTTCTTGTTCTTTTACGACGCGATTATCAACATTGACGAAAACAGATGTGAAGACGATCAAGTTAGCTTAATCGAGAACGATCTGTATAAAGCATTCGCGGTTTTTGACTCGAATGGTGATGGTTTGATTTCGAGCGAGGAGCTTCAGAATGCACTGTCCAGATTTGGGTTATGGGATGATCATTGCAGCAGCCTCGACAGAAAAAGTAAAAGTATCATCAATATGTATGATACGAACTCAGATGGATTTCTTGATTTCGAAGAGTTTAAGAACATGATGTTGTTTGCAAAATCCTAGAAAGTCTATGTTGAGTATATCTTTGTACTAATGTTTGTTGCTTTATGAAAGACTTTTCTCTTCGATTATAGCTAGTCATTTTTGCGAATATTCTCTGCTGATTTTTCTTCGATCATAAGTCTACATTTTTTTTTCTTTCTTACTACAATAGAATTTACTTTTCGGGCATTCCTTAATAAGTATAATTCTTTTTAAAAACATAGCAAGCCTCGAAAGAATGAAGTAATTGATCATTTATGACATACATTTATGGCATATCTTTAATGCACGCAGTAAATGAATATTGTAAAAAACTAATTTTGTTGTAGTGTCTATCTTTGCAATATGACACAATCTAGGGATTGTCCATTGGGCATGGTAAAGTCGATCGTCCTCTACAAAAATATCTATCTTAGTATTGCAGATCTCGGCTTACCAGCACATAAGTATAACTAGCATAGACAAGGGCATAAAATTTGATAGAAACTAGCTTGACTTTTTGAAAGCGGTCAACTTGGCATTAGGTTTCCAATCCATGTTCATGATAAAAGAAGAGCGGATTCAATACCAAGATGCCTTCTTATTTAGAAAGTGCTTTTAAGTATTACGCTATGCTCGAGCTAAGCTTGATGATGAGACACGGTGTTGTGAGTTTCGATATGAAATATCTAATCAATCAATCAATTAATAGAGGACACTTGTTGTCTCATTCCTCTCCATACATAAGACTCTCAAAGCTAGCTATCACTCTCTACATAGAAACACTCCATTATATTTTGTAACAATTTGATTAATGTTTGTTTATGACAATAACATCAGTTGTTTCGAGTATATCATTTCAAAGACTTGTAAATTTAGATGATTATTCATTTTATCCTCATTTTAGGTCATTGTTTTTCCTGCATCTCTCTTGAAAATTTAATTATAAATTTCAAATAAAAAAATTCAATTTAAGTTGAACCTATAGAATAAAAAAAAAAAAAGAAAAAAAAACGTTAGAGAGAGAGAGAATAACTTCTTTTTATATAGTACTCCAAATTGGCAATTTGCTATTCTCCAATTGTTTAAAACATGAAGGAGTCTATTGACTACAAACCTAAATGTTAATCTTCATAAGAATTCCTTGCAAAATGATGATTTTCGAATCCGTTTAATATTGGGTGAATATTATAGTTGACGGTAGTTTTGGAGTTAAAATTTGAATTTCGAAATCAATCGGAGGTCACATGGTCTAAGTGTCTAACATCTTTTATAATATTTTACTCCATATAGGCTTGTTTCCATTTTCACGTGGATTAAGAAAATGTAATTAATATAGCTGAAAACATAAATTTTACTTACATTAAATAATGGTTTAAATATGAGTAATTCATATTTGTTCATAACAAGACACATTAAATAGAGACATATTAGAAAATTAAGAAATCAACGATACTCTCACAGAAGAGAGTGACCTATAATTTGGGGCAAAAAAGGAAAAGTAAGCCTACTTTTATGGGATGGGTGAGTACTTCTTTATTGATTTTTCGGAAGAAGTAAAAAATACTCGACGAATGATTCCAAATTTGAACCGCTTAGCCAAATTTCCCCTATGGTAATGGCTCTTGAAGAGTGGGAAGAGTAGATAATATTCAAAGACAGCCTTTCAGGATGTCAAAGAACAATATTGTGAGAACTAGATCGATGGTGATGGCTAGATTTGTGGTTGAATTCGATGGAGACAAAGGAACAATCCTGAGAAATCTATGATTTCGTGTACAAAAAAAAATAATTTCACTCCATTTTAGAGTAGAATTAGGAGAATGCTGAAATTTGTTCGTTTTTGGACAAGAAACTTCCTATAAATTTCATCATATGATCTGAATCACACAGGTTTTCATATAACAATGTCGATGACTTTGTTCTTTTTGTCAAGAAACTTCCTACAATGTTCTTCCCTCAATTTCAACCACAAGTTAAGAAGAAAATGATTTGGATATTCCGTGCAAAAAAGGACAACCTTAGATTTTTTTTTCTCATAATTGAATAGGACAATCTTTTACCTTTTATATATTAATATAATAGATGCAGCAACTCCAAGCATACAGAATTTGACTTGTTTGCCTTAAGCTGGGCTGCATAAAAACTCAAACGCGACATGTTTACTCTAAGTACCAACCACTTGCAAAGAATTTTCAATAAGCTCGACAAAAATGGCGATGGAAGGGTGAGTACCAATGAGCTTATGTGGCTTCTTCAAAGAATAGGTATGCATCCATGCAGAGAAGATGAGCTGGAGTTATTGCTGGGAAAAACGACTCTTGATTTCATCGATTTCATGTTCTTTTACGATTCGATTATCGACACAGATGACATCAAACGCGATAGCTTAATCGACAACGATCTGCATAAAGCATTCGAGGTTTTTGACTCAAATGGTGATGGTTTGATTTCAAGTGAAGAGGTTCAAAATGCATTGTCAAGATTAGGGTTGTGGGATGAGCATTACAGCAGCGAGGACTGTAAAAGTATTATCAATCTGTATGATACGAACTCTGACGGATTTCTTGATTTCGAGGAGTTTAAGAATATGATGATGTTTGCAGAATCCTAGGAAGTGTCTGTTTTTCTTAATTAGCAGACTTCTAAATATCAAATTTGTACTGAAATATTTAAACTGGATCTTTTTTCAAATCAGTTGCTGAACTTTCATGAAGACTTTCTCGTTGATCATCCCTAATCATTTTTGGGAGAATTCTACAATTCTTTCTTCAACTACTTTTGCACCTAGCATACAAGGTATTACAATATTAGCAGCATTTTCAGTTGTTATTAATTAGGACAGGTCGCCTAGTGAATTATAACCCAATTGTGCTATGTACATAATACATAATGGTTTTCACATAAACATGACGTGAAGAGAAACAACTTGTTTCAGAATTTCTTCAACCAAATAAAAAATATATTACCCCCCCCCCCCCCCACACACCCACACCCACACCCACACCCAGAAATAACTAAATATATAAACCATTATGTGACTCTATCATGTACAAGTAGCATTATTCATTATCTTGATATTAAAATTTGATACCGAGGCCCATCTATTCTTTAAGTAGCTGAGCTGGAAGTCCAGACCGGTCATAAACATGATTGTTCATGACTGTGTTCCATCCAAAGTTATGTATAGGCATAGCTTAAACCAGACGAAGTAGATAAAAAAAGATTCATGTAATCGAACCTAATTGTACTGGAAATAAAAGAAGCCATTTGTGCAGCCTAAAATAAGAAAATATACATAGAAATAATCATATATCTAAGTAGTCAGCTCAGCTACAACACGTCACCAGCTATATGCACAAAGGTCTGAGGCTCCAAATCATCAAAACACAGTACTCATAAATTGCTGCTTATAAATCAACAAAGTTCCCATGAATCTTTATATGAAGGTCCCGGTAATTTTCAGAAAAAGAAAGCTATTTTGATCAATCAATGCTCACTCTGTACCATCCAAATAGTTCCAACTGATTAACATCAGTTAAAAGGACCTATTGGGTTTAGGAGATGAGGACTTGGCTTTTGCAAAATCAACCAAATCTTTGAAGAGTGCATCTTCAGTAGAATTTTCTTGTCGGGTAGTGGCAGGTGATTTGATCGAGAGATTCTGAGTTTGCCCGACTAAGCTGTCATAAGAGCCACCAGATTTGCTGCTTGAGAGAGAAAGACCACGGCCAAAAGAGTTTTGCTCGAAAAATTGTTGTCTTTGGTTATGCCGGGAAGGTGGAGGAGGGAGTGGGCTGGAGACAGGAACATCCCAAGGAGCCGGAGGCAACTCGTCAGAAGATTTACTTTTTGGAGCAGGTTCGTCGTACGTGAATTCTGGAGAAAACGTAGATGCTGTCGGATTTACCAAATCATCTGCAGGGGAGGTGGACAACTTCGGGTTCACATTAGGGGTTGTGTTTCGGTCCTTTGACTGAGATTGAGCAGCAATCGAAGTTGATCCTGATCTTCTCGAAGATTGTTCTGATTCATAAAAATCCCCACTAAGATAATCCACCGTATCAGACTCAGAACTAGTAGGTTTAGTTAATGATGGTGGAGGAAGAACTGGTTTGGTCCACGTAGGTTCACTCTTTCCAGCAATGGGCTTCTGTGACAGTCCTTGCAACGTATCTCTTGATGATCTGCAATGAATACAGTAAAATAACATCAATACGCCTTGCAAGAAGGGAATACTGTCCAACTTCATGTTGATAAGATACAGAAAATGTTGAGACTACACCGAGGCATCAAATTCTACGTATATGCTAATCTTTCTAATTTTAATCCTATTTCTCCAAGAATAGAGTTGATTCAACTCGGGTTAGATAGTCTTGATTAACTAGAATTTCTATTTTGATTAGATATGATATTTAGAAATTCCGTTATAATTAAGCTCTTTATTCTGTAATTGTGAGCGAAGAGAGCTAATAATGAAAGCAAGGTTTGTCCTAAAAAATGTTTTCCTTGATCTCCAGTGAAAAGAGGAGAAGCTAATGTGTGCTTTTCCTTCATAGTCATCGATATTTGCATATTCATTAAGCAGCCCTTGTAGAATGCACCAAGTACGACAAAGAAGAATTCAAACAAGAAAGTAGTTAGTTAACCTGTGTGCTAACTGAGCAAAATCCCCTTCCGACTCATTATCCTCGTGATTGACATTCAAAAGAGGGGCAGCTGGAGTTTCTGTTGTCCCTAATGCAACTGTCGTGGTTCCTCCGGCAATTTCATCATGCTTGCTAAGAACGCGTTGCAGATTATCATTCAGTGCTAATCCCTTGAGTAGAAGATCCTCGTCTCTGAAAAGAAATATGGCAATTGCTCTCAGAAACTTAATTAAATTCAAAATTACCAAAAACAAGATAAGCTATATTCTCACACGGTATTATTCACAAGAACAGTGACTCGCTTTTGATATGAATGACACTGTTCAACAAGGTCAATGATCACCTCATCCTTTACACTCTGCGTCCAAATCCAGAAGGTTAACAAACAGTAAATATGAATAATATACAGCAGAAATATTGTTCTTCCTAAAGAAAGCTTGAATGTAAATGAACCAAAAATATGAATAATCTACTGCAAAAATAGCGCTCTTCTTACAAGAGATCCGTGCTTTGAACTTATTTATAACAAAATGTAGTCTGCATCAAGTCTGTCACTCCGTAGAAAAATCACAATAAATTACCTTAAGAAATAACCCACTTCTTTCCTCAATCCCAATAGAGAATATCAATTTCCAAATACCACATTCACCCAACACATACTAATTTTTATGCCATTTTCAAAAAATAATTGTTAGTAGCTAAGAAGACATGCTAAGTTGCTAACTCCATTAGGTATTCTTAATCCACTGGTTCTTAATGAAGATGTCCCAATCAGATCATGCCAACAGTGCTAGTAGTAGTCAAAGCATTCAAATCCATAGTGTAATAGTTGGCAATATTCGATCATTAGAAAAAAGAAATGCCTAGGGAGAGAAGGTTGTCTTCCGGGGAAAATACTTTTGGCAGCAACAGGGTTAAAAAACAATGTTAGTCACCCAACTTATTGCTTTTTTTTCACTTCGGTTTTCCTCTTTTAACTTTAATTTTTGTTTAAGTTTAAGCATTATGTCTCTCTTTCTGCAGACCAACATAAATTATGGTTATTGTTTGTGCTCGTATAGCATAAAAATGATTTACTGGGGAGGGCCATAAAATTAATAGAAAATAATGATGCGGCTAGTAAAAAAATTCAATAGCAAGAAAAATCATTCAGTGCATTGTTTTCATTTTTCCAGACAGACAAACCCTTGTCTTGTTATGCGTTTTTCCAAAGTAACAAGAAGAATAGAATAAGAATCTTAATCTTCTTCCCCAATCCCTTACAGCCCCTTCCCCTTGCCACTACTTCCATGGCCACCATGTAAGCATTTTGTTAATTAAACATAGGTAGATGGAGTGATTAAATTAATACAAAAATGGAAGTTCAGTATCTAATTTGGAATAAAGAAAGTTCGATGACCAAAGTGAAACAATGCTATAAGTTGAGGGACTAACATTGTTCTTAACCCAATTTGTAACACTGGAGGAATAAAGCAATGAACAATATCCAGTCTTACAAAGAGAAAAAAGACAACACAAAATATAAAAGAATTTATAACCTGAGGATTCTTTGGATCCAAGGCACGAAGCATTTCCATCAAAACATTCACAAGTCTCTCAGCGTTTTGTATTTCAGGCAAGCTGCATCAGAAAACAGAATATCTTAAAATTAAGGACTGCAGTCCATGTGAATATGGTACTCATGAGCATAATTACTCAAGTACTTGGAAAAGAAGTACAATACTAACTACTGGAACTTACCATTTAGTTCACTTGTGAGGGCTACAACTTCTTAAGCTTTTATTGTTTAAACTAAGAAAATGGTCAAGTGAAAAACTATAGCATCAGGACAGAACAACTTGTTGAATGTATTTAAACCAACCCCATCAAAGTTCTTGTAAAAATTGTTATGCTTTTCAATCCTAAGGTGAAGCAAACTAGAAGCATGTTTTACTACGCTTTAAAAATTTACTGACAAGTAAATAAGTTTCAAAAAAAAAAAAATGGTTAAGTTGGAAAAAATAGAAGGTTTGGCAAAGCATAAATGTTATTAAAAGATAACTCTTTGAAATGTAGATAGAGATATACTTCTCAGAGAAATCAAAGTAACTTTTAAACTTAGCCAGACACGTTGCATGCAGTTATTTATTTGGACAGAAAGTTTAACACTTGCTTTAAGTAACTTGTTATACTTAAACGTGAGTCATCCAAACACGTTGGGAAACAAAGATCTAAACAAATTATTTAGCCAATAAGTGTTGTCATGTAAAGTATATACCAATCATTTGCACTAAACTCTCCACTTGCTAAGACCAAATATTGAACACCGCGGAGAAAGTTAAAAACATTTTTCAGTTCACAAATAAATATCACAATAAGAATGAAACCCTTTTATACATGTGTATAAAGCTTCATGAACGATGCAATGCACAAATTAACGGAGAAGGATATACCTGAATCCAGAGGAATCAGACTGAAGAGAGGCCTGGACAGCAGCTTCCTCATATGCAGAAGCAGCAGCTTCCTCGTATGCAGAAGCAGAATACTCTATTGGGTGTGTGTGTAGTGGGGCGAATACCTGTTCGCTATTTTCGCCTCGAGGTGGGAATTCTACACCAGCAGACTGTCATTATAAAAGCTACCAAGTGAGTTCTTGAACTGAACTTTAATGGATAAGTGTGTAGTAATAGTGGGTGGATTCCTCAAAATTTTTATCTAAAAGGTGGCTTGTGTGTGTACTAACACTTTATAAACATGAGCCAGATATAGGCTTACTCGTATACAAGTCATGCTGCAAAATACAAAAGCATAAGAAAATTAGAATGTAAACCGACACGCTGCAGAGACCAACCATTACATGCAAAGTTAAAAGTCGGTGATCTGGTAAGCAAAAGGCACTGGTCTCTTTAAGGTTAAAAGAAAGAAAAACAAACTAAGATTTTTTTCATTGTAGTATCTAGTATAGTCTAATACTAAATGCACAAGAGTTCTGCAAAAGAAAAAATATTACTCAATCAGAAAAGCTCCCCCGTCTCCCTCCCTCACCCTCACACACATGACGAAAAAGCATATAATTGATCTGGTATGTATTTCTTTGCTTCAATGTAAATTATTTTCTAGAGGATGTGAAAATTGACTATATTCTCTTGTATCTGGTAGCATTATGCTCGATTCCAGAATTAAAATTCTACATATGTAATAGCATTTTAAAAATGAAATTAGCTTCCGGCCAAATCATTTTTCTGATACATAATTTCACCAATCGCCCAACCATATACATGCAAGCACAAGAATGTTCACAACTTATCAAAAAAAAAAAAAAAAAAAAACACTATTTCATCCATTTTCATTTCCACAAAATGGGGGCCAAACGGGGCTATAGGGTTGTACTATTCAAAAATGTATTTTTTTCCTTTCAAAATGAAGTTCAAACAAGGGCTATATCTACAAAAAAATTATTGTTGCGCTACAACAAGTGGGCATTTATCCTGTGTGCATTTTCAAATTAACTTCATATTTTTCGTCAGTGGGAGATAAATTTCAATGCATAACTCAAAGGGATTCATGTATCGACAGATAGCTGAAAAAAACAGCCTTGACATTCAACATAAGCTTTAAGATGAGAGAAAGAAGGCGATATATTTGAGTTAATATAATCTGCTTTTAAGAGCTTGCACGCATCTTAAAAGTTTGTTTTCCATACAGATCCCTCTAGCTACTTAAATAAATATTTTGTATTTTGTTTACAAAAAAGTTTTCCCCAAATTGAGATAACAATATTGTAAGAACTTGACGACTTTGTACACTATGTAAAACAAAAACTTCCACCCCAACTTCTTTTAACACTCAAGTTATTTGTGTACTCAATTACCAAGGAAAAGATGCCAGAAGCCAATAAAAACTAGGATGCATGTATCCACAGATAGATGGAAAAAGCCACACAATAAAAGCATTCACATGAGAGAGAGAGAGAGCAGGTAGTAAAGGTTGTTTAATAGTTTTTTTTACATGGAATTTATCTATCATCTGTTTTACAAAGCTTAAAAATACTAACTGATGCTACTGTAATTGTAAAGTAGAAAACAATATTTCTCCTGTAGACATGTCACCTTTTGATGGTATTTTATCAATAGGAATATAATATCAAGGTATAGTATTAGCAGAATGAGCTAATAATAATGAAATAACAGAAGTTTGAAAGTAAAAGCCAATCTACTTGGAGCAAATAGAGATAGCGGCATGTAAGCTCAGTATAACACACAAAACGTGATTAGACACCACTGCAAAGAGTTAAATGAACTTTATTTCTACAAAATAGAATTGTGCTTAAATATAAAATGCAAAAAGAGATGTAAATTACCTTCAGCTCATTATAGGCAGCATAGTATTGGGAAAACCTTCCCCCGGGTCCCCCAAAGGCTTCTTGCCAAGTGTCTATTAAGATTAAGATTTTCTCCCTCACATTTAAATCAGGCTGCAAAAGTTAAATTGAAAGCTTGTATAAAAGGTACATTAGGATTTCGCATGGTATAAAAACTAAAGATATCATGAGCAAATAAGACTATCACCACCTTCTTCTTTACAATTTTGACCATTTCGTGTAGAATATCCCGCTCAATGATCTGCTGAAACAGATTCTCTCCACAATTTTTGGTAAGAGTCTCCAGAACCTAGAACGAAACATATTTGTAAATTTTGACCAATACGGCTGCCAACATTCTAATACAAGTATACCTTCCCCAAGTCTACATAGTAAATCACTAAATCTTGAAGAATATGCTGTGTACAAATTAATGCTTTAGATTTATCATGTTACAGAAATTTCTCGTGTTTGTAAATGTATCAAAGAGGCCATGTCCAAGACTAGGAGAGACGGGAAAACAAAAAATACTCACAAACAATGCAAGGAGCTGTATCTTAGGGTTTTTACTTCCCAATCTTTTCTTGAGTATCTTCAGTGCACCCTTTGCTTGCCTGTGATTTCAATTTCATGAGACCGAGATGATGTTATTCATCTACTTCAACCTTCACAAGAGAACGTTAAGGGGCTAAAACTACAAATACAAAATGAGATCTGGATTCAAGTTTTCAGAATATATACAATAAGTCCCGTTTAATTCTCATTTTTATCAAAATGCATTTTTCTCCTTCTTCTTTTTAACCACACATTTTTCATTAAAATAATATTACACGTAAATCAAGAATTTTCCTTATTTTTCATCCACGCATTCTCCATCAATCTACTATTCTAAAATTCATTTTTTTCCATAAAAATGGATTTCAAACACCTTTATACACACACACACACACAAACACAAAATTTTGGATTTGCATATAATATTATTTTATTGAAAAATGGGTGGTTGAAAAAAAAAAAAAAGAGAGAGAGAGAGAGAGAGAAATATATATTTTGAAAATAATGGGGATCAAGCAAGGACTTATCCTTCAAAATTTCAAGCATCCAGATCAGATCATGGGTTGTACATGTACGTTTACATGCACTATTGCCCCAAAGACCTTATTACACATCACATCGTGTCACCCACATTCAATCATCATAGTTGCACACTTTTCAGAAGTCCAAATTCTACACTTGGAACTCAAAATTTTGTTAGGGAAAAGGATACCTCATAGGACATACATTTCCTTGTTTAATCATGAAAATATCTATTAATAGCGAGATGGATATCCATGTATTATTATTCAGTGACCCTACTTAAAATCACATTCTGGCTCCTCACTCATCCATTTCTAATGCATGTAAGGGATCAAGTATTGCCAAAACTTGTTAAGGGAGAAAAACAAGTAGACGGCTTCTAAATGCTTACAATCAATACCGAAAATCTATCATGCAGAGCTTGTATGGCTAAGCTTAAAAAGGTTCACTTATGTCTATTTGTAAGTAACAAGTAAGTATAAAAATTAATTGAGCAAAATTGAAAATATGTCTCTTACAATAAGGTAAAAGTTTATTTTAACCTAATTAAATTTTGTCTAATTAAAAATGAGAAAAAAGGGAGCTTATCCAAACATGTTGGGAAAAAATCGTTGATTTTTAACCTTAGCCAACCATGCTCATGGTATAAATAAAATTTCAGGTCACATATGAAAAATTCTCCAGCTGCCAAAAAGTCTTCCGTGGTACAAACATGACCATTCAATATGCCAATAAAACTGCAAAATCAATGATGTGAATAAAGACTCGAAAAACAAGAGCCACAAAGGACAAATATACAAATCTATTCAAGTAAAAGTCACACTGGAAAAATAAATATGCATTTGCAAAAGCAAAGGTAGTGAAATAATACCCAGGATCCATATTTATGACGTCGCATAGCTCTAGATTCACTGCCCAGTCTGGACCAATCAACATATCACCAGTTGCCCTCTCAGCAATAGCCGCCGCGTTAGCCATATTTGTCTATTTTCTAACGCCGGTTTCTTTAACTTCCTATAACAAATAGTAAATCGAGACAGTCAATCCACGTCGCCTACTAAATAACTTGGGCACCTACAGAATACAGACTAACAGCATAGCAAAGAAATCCAAAGGAAAACATCTACAGAAGAACAGGCACACCCATTGTACATATAAGACACACGTCAATAGATCTGATTCATTCTACCATGAGTACATATGCAAAAACAAACTCAAAAACAATACGAAAACCCAGAAATAAACTGATAATTTCATGCTCAAATATGCACAACGGTATTGATGCAACATGAAAAGAGTTAAAAGCCTATTCAAGGTGAAATACTAGGATTAAGTAGAATTAAAAATTGATGTTATCTTTTAATTCAGTTTATTTTGATGTTATCTTTTATTTCAATTTATCAAGATAGAAAGTTTGATGTCATCTTTTATCTAGATAGAAAGGAAGTTTGTTTAGTTTCGAAATCCTTCACTATATAAAGGGTACTCAGGGAATCATTTTAGAACAACTTGAATTTTATGAAATAAAACAATCCTCTTTGCCCTCCATTCTTCCCTTTTTGATCTCTTTAGTCTCTTTATCTTATTGTTCTTTATCAAGTTTGTGCATATCCGGCATCAAGTATACTCAAGAATTATATATGATGATCAAGTATCCTCAGCAGTAAAGTAGGTGGTAAGAGCAAGACTTATAATTAAGAAACCAAGCTAAAATTCTTTTCTTTTAGCAATAAATGTGAGCCCACTAATAATTCAAACTAATAAAAATCATCAAATGAATTGAAAATAATAATAATAATAATAATAATAATAATAAACAATGAGTAGCCAAAAAATCCAATTCCATTTACAAAAAAATAAAAAATAGTAATAAAAATAAAAAAATAGTAATAAAAATAATAAAAGAAAATCCAAGAAAATATAGCTACAAATTCCAAAATCAAACACCAACAAATTAATTGCAAAAAAAAAAAAAAAAAAATAATAAAAAAAAAATCTTAAAGATCGTGTCTTTCCAGCAAATAAGAGAAGCAATTCACAGAATCACAAGGATCAAGAATTAAAGGAAACAAATTCAGGCAAAGAAAATTCCAAAGCAGGAAAGAATTAAAGGAAACAAATTCAGGCAAAGAAAATTCCAAAGCAGGAAAGACGGGATCTTTAGAAGATTACCTGTCAGAACCACCCCACCGTCCCGTTTAGTCTATTGCGATATACTGAATACAAGAATTAAGATTTATGACTGTGTATATATTTTGAAGAATTAAGAGATTTTGCTGTGTTTTGTGGGGTTTTCGTAAATGCAGCCTAAAGCTTCGACTTTTACTATGTGCAATTCTAGAAATTTTTAAATGCTAGAGTGACGTGTCTTTACTCCTTTAACATTTGTTAAGGTCGGACAGGCTATAATTTATTAGAAATTTGCAACCACGGTCTCCAAAATTTATTTTTCAGGTTCAGATTCTATTCAATTCTTTGTAATTTTAGAACATTGTTTGAGGCCCATTTTATTGTAATAATAAATTTTGAAATAATAAATTGATGAAAAATGTATAGTTAAAAAATAAAAAAATTAAATTTGCTGGTAATATTATTTTACTGAAGAATGTATAGTTCAAATAGAGAGAGAAAATATATATTTTAAAAATAATAGGGATCAAATAAAAGAGAACTTTCTATTTAAGTACAATAAGGTTCTTTTGGATGGAAATCGTCAAAAACTTGACTCTGTTTGTAACGAGTTCTTTAAAAAAAATTCTAATTTATTTTCAATCAAACATTATTCTAATAAAATAATATTACACATGGACTCACAACTTTTGCCTATTTATAGCCCCCATTTGGCTCCTTTTTTTTAAAATTAAAATTGATGGAATGAACTTTTTTGGGAGGAAGAGTGGTTGAAAAAGAATTTTTTTTATTTACGTGTAATATTATTTTATAGAGTAATGCTATTCATAGTGAAAACTGTCAGTAGTCATCCTATGTGGCATACATTTGACAATTTGGTATTTGATACATAGATATGGTAGTTATTTTTTGAATTATACATCAAATGAAAAATTACCAATTGTATGTCACATAAGGCAACTGTCGGTAATATTCACTGCAAATAATATTATTCTATTTTATAGGAGCTTTTGTGATTGAAAATTGGAGAGAGAAAACTTTAATTTAATTTAATAGTTGCCAAGCTAGGGCATAATCACGCATTCTAAAAAAATTACTTTCACAAAATTTATTCCCAAGAAATCTACATAAAAAAGCACATGGGATCGAATATTTGTTTCCTTTTCTTCTTCTATTTCTATTTAACCTTTTTCAATTTGTTTTCGAAGATATTTAGGTGACTGATAAAAGTACTATCAAAGAAAAGTCTATATATGACTTTTTAAAAAAGTATAAAATATAAAAAATTAACAGTTTCATCGAAAAATGACCCACTTTTACCTATATTGAAACTTTGAAGATCTCAAAATCAAAACAATTTTTTCTAAAAGAAATAGTTATCCAAATGCTCCAAATTATAAAGTTTGGAGACCACCCTGCAAATTTCTCTAATTTATATGTCAAAATGGTTTACCATTATTCTCTCTCGTCTACGGTACAATCATTAGTCTTTCAGGGCAGAAATATCACAGTCCTGTCGTTATTATTCTTTAGTTTTGACTTTCCTGTTTCTTGACGATTATGCAAACAGAATACCATAAGCGTGTTTAGAAATGTCAAAGGGGACCACAAAATTGTGAATATGAACGCGACTATGTTTACATTGACCATTGCAGTTTGACCCTTGTCAGCCTAGACCAATTATTTCTCTTCAAGTGCTTTGAACAAATTTATATTCTCCAAAATTTTATAAATTATTAATTCTTATAAGACGGCCGGCTTGCTCGGTCTAATAATGACGAAGAATTTATCTGTCGATTTAAATTAGAAAATCTTTAGTCTTATTCTCAAATTCTCGACGAATGAAAGTTGAGTTTCCTGCATTAGAAGTTGAGAAAATCGTGCATTAGTCCAAGATTTATGGTTCTCGTACATTTCTTGTTGAAATGAAGGTCTACATCTCCCTATGTGTAGAAAATCTAGTCATCGATTGAAAAACAAAATATTGTTAAAATCAACTTGGGTTGAACAAAATTTTCGAACCGAACCAAACCGAGTCGAGCAGTTTTTTCTTAAATTAAATACCTGAACGAATATATGAATCGAGAATCGACGGGTTCGATTTCATTCTCGATTCTAGATTAAGAACCGAATCTATCTAATTTTTTTTAATTTCTTTGTTTTAGATTACCTAAATTATTTTATTTTATTTTTAGTAAATTTGTTAAATAGTTAATTTCATAGTTATCAGACCCGACTCGAACATCGACCCGGTCAAAGTACCGGGTCACTGGGCTGCTGGTCAAACCAGTGACCGGTGGTCGGACCGGTGGGTCATTACTTTAAAATAATTTAATAATTTTCAAAGTACAATTTTTTATTTTTTATTTTTTTTGTTTGAGACAAAATTAAACTTTTTAAATTCTTTGTCACTAAATTTTCTATACATTTAAATAAATGATTTTTTGAACTCATTTATCAGTGATAATGGTTAAATTTTGATTTTATAATTTTGTATATTATATTAAAAAATATATTTTTCCCTTTTTGTGATTTACAAATATTTATTAGTTATTGACAAAAATTTTGTGCATTATCTATTCAATTTATCTTAGTTAAAATTAATTTTTTTCAAACAAAATAAGTATATAAAATAATTATTTGAAATTACAAAGAGAATTAAAACGTTGGACTAATTTCTTTAAAAAAGTTCCTAGAAATAGTAAATTATTTATAGGCTAGATATAATTTATTAAACAAAGGACAATAAAGTGTTGCTTGCACTAATGGTAAGATTGTATTCTACTTACTTAGAGGTTAAGGGTTCAAATTTTTGGTACCTATAATTTCAATATAAAAGAGTTTTGAAATTCAGTTTAAAAATAAAAATCAACGGGGGTCGGACCGGCCCTAAAATTATTCAAAAACCGCCTGTTCGCCCGGTTAAAGCCGAATTTTGATCGGGCCACTTGCATCTATATAAAATCAGCTGGCTCAGCCTGGTCAAGGGCTCAGGTCACCGATTTACCGTGCCGACCATCCGGGCTGGGCCAATTTTAATAACTATGGTTAATTTAGTTCAAACTCAAAAATATGATTTTCATATTTCTAATTCTCAGTTCAAGCCTAATTTGATCAAATTGGCCTAAATTTTATCTAAATATATTTATTCTACCGTAGTACCGTTTCTATCGTCCTGAAAAAATCGAATTGAAGTTTGACAGCGCCTCTCTTAATTATTGTAAGCTCGCTATCGTCCTCTTCCTGTGATTTTAACAATCAAATCTATAAAGAATTCAACAAAGAGATATGCAAAAGACATATAAAATTGGACTGCGTTATTTTGTAAGAGTTAAGATTGAAAATATCATTAATTGAACTAATGTAACTTTGTAAATATTAAAAAAATTAATTATAGTACAGAACTTAGGAATCAAAAATCGAACCCGAACGATTCCATAATTAAATTTGGACATTAAGATTCCGCTTACTAAATAACCAAAAAAATTCGGTCCAATTCAGTTCTAACGAGAATCGAATCGTACCATACCCACCTTTAAAATGAACGTACAAAAATCTGTCAACTCATATGATATCAAATTTGATATACATATTGGTAACTCAAAAGAGCAAGATGGTAGGAAATTCATCCAAACAAGATATTCAATATTTATTGCTTGCAATAATATCTGACTTCCATAGTATTTTAAAAGGCTACTCCTAGTAGATGTGATAGAATTATTCCAATTCCACGTAGAACAATTATGTACATTTCAATCAAAATTCTTAAATTTATATTAAATGTTAATTGACTTCATTTATATTATTAAGATTATGAAGGAGAGAACAAGAAAGAAGTTAATGAGGACAAATTTACTCAAAATTAATTGTATAAATACTCAGCCCCCGTTTGTTTCACTTTTTTTTTTCATTAAAATGAAAAATATGACCGTTATCCATCACATCAAGTCACCAAATTTGAATTTATATTTCTTGTGTGGGGTCCATAACGGCTATATTTTTCATTCTCATTTTTACATTAATGTGTACCAAACGGGCTCTCAATTTTCTCTAGAATTGTTTTTGGTGCTTTCAACAGGATATTTGGAGAATTTTAGTTGTATAGATGATGCGAACCCCGTAGCAATGGAAACTACGAAACCCACAACGAGATTGATGCGGAACCCAAGAATGCCAATACTAACCCGATTTTGGATCTTGAACCCCAAGAATTGAACCAAGAAACCCTAGATTAGCGAAGAACCTAAAACCCCTTGATTACAATTGAAAGAACCCACAATCCAATTGATAGAACGCCACAAGAAGTTGAATCTTAATAAGTTTCAAGATTGTTCAAAAAGAACAATTAAATTGAAAGAATAATTCTCCCTCTATAATATTAAGTAATAGTCAAAGTTCAAAAGTTTTTTTTTACAATGAAAAAATATTCTCCTATTTATACTATTTCTTGAATATGAGTCAAAAGGAAATATAATTCTAATAATCTAACAAAATTCCTAAAATATTCGTCCAATATGGTAGGAATTTGATTAAGATAAAATTCTAGTAAAATAAGGAAAAACGCGGAAAAAAGGAAAATCGCCCCAGAAATGAACCATGCGAAATAAAATTTACGCCATTGAATTCTCGGTATCATGTCATGCGACTGCATGGTTATACTGCCCACTCTCTTCTTCGGCTGCTTATAACGCATTGATCCATTTTGTTTCGGCCTTCGACCCGAACACGAAACTTGTCCAATTTTGAGTCCCGAACATGTTTCCATCAATAGTTTCTTGAACGAGCAATCCCATCGCTTGTTTCACTTGTTTTGCTCTCGATTGCGTCATCGGTCCATCTTCGATTATCAACGGGTCTCGTCTCGTACTTGCCTTCTTCTGGCTCGGCTCTTGGATCACATTATCCCCTCCCTCTTCAAAAGGATTCGTCCTCGAATCTGAACCTGCATCAAACAGAGAGAGTTTAGATACATTAAAAGTAGCCAAAACATTGTACTCACATGGTAAATCCACTTTGTATGCATTGTCATTGATCCTCTCGATGATTTGAAACAGTCCATCGCCTCGCGGTTGCAATTTTGACTTTCTCTGTTCTGAAAAACGCTCTTTTCTGAAATGCACTCAGACCCAATCTCCAGACTCAAATGTAACGCGTCTTCTTCCTTTATTTGCCTTTGATGCANCGATCTGTATCCTGACCTTTT